GAAGCCAGAGCTTGAAGACCCTCTCAACTCACTACGGTCTCGTGTTTGAGAACACTTTGGCTTCTCTGTTAAAATACATAACGGGGATAGACGAGTGGATAAATGTAAAGTTGTATGCCGACATTGTTCCACGGAGATCGGCAGGCAACACATCTAACATTTTCTACTGCTGGAGATATTATAACCAGATCTATGCTCTCTTCAGAAAATGTGGATAGGTAATCCATCCTAACTAGTTGCAGTATTTCATTTTTTATTTAAAAAAAACGTGTTTTTCTTAATAAAGAGTGCAATTTATTTAAAATATTATCACCCAAATGTGTCACTTTTATTTATTTTATGCAAGAATTCTACTGTGTATTGGCAGCTTTTCAAAATAAAGAATATGTAAGTTCTTATTGTTTTGTACCGAACCGAATGAACCGAACCGAACTCTCCAAGACACTGTACCGAACCGAATACGATTTTAGCGTACCGTTACACCCCTAATGCCAGTGCCTAGTTTTACAGTTCTAGCTTCTGTGTTTTTTTTTTTATATTTATTTCTATTTGCCTGTATTTTCTAGTTAAATTTTAGGTCCTTTTATCCTAATGTCAGACAGGTTTATGTAAGAACAAAAGAAAAACGTTGGCCAGAGGGGTCAGCAAAAAAAGAACCTTGGTGCCACACGAACGAATCACAGCACTTAACAGCTAGGATATAATACAGACAATCTGACTGAATAAATGTGTGGCATCTGTTGCAAGACATTAATCCATCAACCCAATCATGTCTCTTTAACATTTCCTTGTTCTTCAACGAAACATTAATCCTCTTAAATTCCAACATTACTTTTATGGCCTTCCTGTAACCAGGAGCTCCAAGTATGCAGGGCATTCAAAGAAGAAACATATGTGTTACCATCATAATGCATCAATTCTTAGAACCAAAATAATTTTACAGACAAGTTTAGAAACCACTTAGAAAATACACACATTAAAAAAATTATATTAGATTCATCTTTGTCATGGGAGAAGTTAAAGTATAATCCAAAAAAATACATTTGGCATCTAGCCAAAAGTGCCTTGTTAATGTGACATTTAGGTTGGTATATGACACATAATAAAAGAGCAATATGAATCGAACAACAACACATTTGAATTGGCAGTTAAAAAAACAGTTTTTTGTTTTTTGATCAGCAGTTCGGCAATGTGAGTGTACATAATTATGCATATGAAAATACAAACAGTATGAACATTATGAATAGATGACCAAGATAATTGCAAATAAACAGTGCAGAGAGGGTATTATGTAAATTGAGGTAGAAATTGTCTAACATACACTCTGCTCACGATACGCACTACTCATACCTCGATATTATGTCCACTACATGCATCACAATATTTTACAATTCTATTTTTAAATCAATAATTGTAACCGTTTATATAATCTATCGTTGGAAAAATGGATTTTAAAAAGTCCACAAAGCTAAGAAGACTACAGCCTTGTTTGATTCCTATGAGAGAGTTTGATACCAGCCATCCACTAGGGGCAATGGTATCAACAATCACTTTGCAAACACACTTCAGCTCGAAGATGTTATCTCAAAAATAAACTTGTACGGTTGAATTCTCCCTCAACAACATCCATTACTATTACATAAAATAAAGTAGTCCAGCTTTTCACACTTTAACTTTTTTTGTTAATTTCTTAATACATAGACAGATAGCTTAATGTCATAGAGGCTACTAATTACATTACAGGACTGATACAAACAAATAATAACCACATGTCGGGTATGAAAATTAATTTAAAAATGTCTCTCCATGAAGAAGTAACTTTAAGTATAGACAAAGATTGAGTTAATGGGACAAGAGTTGTGATCTTTTACAGTAGCTCACGTGAAGAGCTACACAAGTGCTCTAAAATTCCAAATACAGCCTGTGTGACTTATAGCAAAAAGGCTTTCTTTAACAATAATATTCACACTATTGTCAGTGTTACTGGTATCGCGATAACTGCTAGCAATGTGCTACTATAGCACATTACTGTTCGGCAACTAATAATGTCTACGCAACAGAAATCACTGAAACAACTTAGGCAGAGGCCTATACCATGAACAATTCAATGAAAGGAGAAGCATAGTGACAAGTCTCTCTCTCTCTATCTCTCTCTTACTTGAAACGTGTTTTCTCCTCCAAATCAGCAGGGGGCTCCTCTGTGATGAGGGTGACCAGCTCCTGCATGCAGTGATCCTTGGACAGGAAGAGAAGGAGCTTACGATTTTGTGCTTTGCATTCCTGCAAAACATCCTCCTCTTCCATCAACTCCCTCAGGGTCACACCCTCTCGATCCAGCAGCTGGTCGATATGGGAGGTGTTGTTCAGGTCAAACTTCCAGAACATGATGGTGGTAGTGACAGCTGTGGCAAGAAGCACAAGCCTGAAAAGTAAAAAAAATTACAATGATGTTTACAATGACAAGTTAACGATTTACACTGTTTAATTCAAACATGTTTTATGAAACATATGAAAAATAAATAAGAGAAAAGAAATTCATATATTACCGTTAAAACGTTTACTTTATGAAAATGTTACATTTAGAGATTTTCAAATATTCTAAACCTGTAAATCACTTTCATTCCAACAAGACCAAAATTATTTCAAGTGAATACCTAGTTTGGTTGATTTGTATCAGAATGCTGGCTGGAAATTTGAATGTTTAAAATAAATAAATGTTTTTTACCAGCTGATGAAACGTTTGAATCCTTAGTTACACCTCCTCCGCAGGCAGACAGGCATTTGAGTGGTAAAATGCAGACAACACTGAATGACCTAGCACAAAACTGCATGAGGTCCACTTCCCACCAGGCCCTCTTCGATGACTGCTACAGACGCAGAGACACAGAGGAAAAGAAACCTTGAGAAACATGAGAGGAAAGAAAAGCATGAGAAACCTTCCAAAAATCTGTACAGACACTGAGTTAACATCATATCAAACACGTAACAGACTGTGAAAGGCTAAATAAATCAAATTTAAAATGTCTTGGAACTAAGAAAGTAATGTTTGTACAACCGCCATTTCCTGGTGACCAAATACACAATCGCTCACTCTTCCTCGAAAAATACCCCTCCCCTCTTTACTCCTGTAAGCAACACAAACTGTGTTTAAAGGTGCAACAAACACAAAAGAAAGCTGCAGTGCAATGCATTTAACTGATTCTGTAGAGACTAATGGTGACAATGAGTTTGAGACTCAAACTTTGAGACAAATAAATACACATACTCAAAACCAACAAATACAACAAACAGGAATGAATTCCCTCCACAAATTCTCCAATACCTTTAAGATTCTGTATGCTAAGTATTCTCAAATAATTACAATATGATGGAAAAAAAATAGTTTTCACACATTGCAGAAAACTAAACTCACGTATACTATGGCTTCAATGATTTTGATTGAAAGTCTAGTTTAACGACTGATTCAGAATGAATATTTAAACCCTTTAATAAACAAATCCTATTTAAAGAAGTCTATATTTGTTTTTCCCCACCAAATCTGGACGGACTATGTATTATTATGTTAACAGTACTACCTAGGACTGAATTTTCATCATTTCTATAAAATCAGTATTGGCAGACAAACTGCAAAATTGACCAATACTTGATGCAGATGACGCTGCAAATCACTCATAACTCCTACTCTCCCTCTACATCTCATGCCAAAATCCTAGATATGGATATATTACAACCCTTTGAAACATATCCAGAGACGATATCAAGAGCCCTTTAGAACATCCATTATATTAGCATAGACTGATTATATGTCAGTCATCCCCTGCCCTCCCATCCAATCACAACAAGTACAATTTCAGAAAGCAGACAGGTAAAATTAAAAGTTAATAAAAGCAACTGACTCAAAGTCAATCTGCAGATAACAAAGAAAATGTTCAAAACATGCTACAACTTTGATGATGACGATAATAATAAAAATATTATTATATACTTCGGTCAAATTGTTATTTTATTTTAAAATAAAAGTGAAATTAATCAAAAAACACAATGTGTACAGTTATTTTATTTGTAATAATGAATGGATGGGTGTCATTTAAAGGAGTCCTCGGTGATACTGCAGACTGGTTGTGTGCATGTGCACACAATTACCTTTGCTCACCTCTCTTTAAAACTTGATTTAATAACTTCCAATAAGTTTAGGGCTTGTAACTTTTAAACACACTACGATTCAAAAGTTTGGGGTCACTTGGTGTTTCGCAAGAAAATTCACAATTTTATTTACCACGAGATGTAAAATGCATAGAAAATATAGTCAAGATATTGACAAGATTAGAAATAATATTACCGTATTTTTCACCGTATAAGATGCACCGGCATATAAGACTTAATTTTAAATGAGTAAGACCTAGAAAAAAAAGATTCTGAACCAAATACTGTAGTAAAATATTTTATATCAACTGTGTAAAAGTTAACAGCAGTTTAAGAACAATTATATGCCAGACATGTAACATGAACAGTCAGTAAAGTCAGTAAACAGTAGGGGTGGGCGATATCTCGATATTTAAAATATATCGAGATATTTTTTAAACTCGATATGAATTCTGGCATATCGTACATATCGATATAATGTCTATATTTAATTTTCGCCAATTTGCTTGTTTGCCTTCTCTGTGCTGTGCTCGTCCGCGCCTCCTTGCTTTTGTTTCCCCTCCCCTTGCCTGTCGTCTCAATAAACATGGCGGCGCCCGCAACCAGCCCGGAGGCTACAGAACTTGTTGCTAAAAAAGAACAGCTGGCTCCATTATATGGAAATACTTTGGTTTTAAGTCGTCAGACGAACAACAGACAGATGTCTACTGCCGTGAATGCCGTGAAAGTTGCTGCCAACCAAAGCTCAACTAACCTCCAC